ATCAGCAGATATGGATTAATAATTAAGACAGAGCTAGCTGATAAGAAAGTAGTAACTGGCCAACAGTATAATATCAAATACAGAGTCTCAGTGTGTTAATTGCAGCTGGCTCGGCTGCGGGACAAGACCAGGCGGCAGGCGAAAAAACCCTACACCTTACAGTAGTTCCAGTAAGGATCTTCCAAAGCAAGACAAGGGAACTAAGAGCAACAAAGAAGCCAGTTATAAGCACCTTCAGTAGGGCCTTCAAAAAGCCTGACCCAGAATTATAAGTTATTAGTTGGATAATCTACTTCGGTAGATGACTGTTAACAATTTGGGCAGGAAGTATTCTCAGTGACCAGAATAAAGACCAGAGTACGTTGGTATAAATTAATATGCTCTTGTTTCTGGTTTTTCACTTATTCATCACTGTTTCTAATTTTAGGCTCCCAAAGAATGTCATATTTAAGATCTCAATAATGGAGCTTTTATATGGAAATGCAAAGCTGATTCAATGTTGAGATGAGCAAAAGAGAGTAAGTGGAAGTAGTAGCCTGGGACTCCCTAGGTAGACTAGGCCAGCCTTAAACTCACAGAGATCCCCCTGACATTGCCTCCTAGTCCTGTGATTAAAAGTAGGCACAACCACACCTAGCCATTCCTTATTCTTTATTAGAAAAAGAAACCCTACAAATTACTGAAATTGGGTTGATAGCTATATTCATGCATTCAAGAATAAATAAATAAAGACTTAAGAAGAAACAAAATGGAAAATGGGTGGTAAAATCATGATCATTTAGAATTAGAAAATTTTTCTGTCATGAAAACTCAGGCAAATGGACATTACACATATATTTGGAAGTTATGTATATTATGCCGTGTATTACAATTTGATAGGGATGACACAGATTATGTGCCTTCAAGAAATATTAATTTTCCCATGGTTACTGAAGAAAAAGTACAAGATTAAGATGTCAGCAGAGAAGCTTCTTCTGAGGTATCTCTCCCAGGCTTGTAAACAGATGCCCTATCCTATATCCAGGCTTATAGATAGATGTCATATTCTGTATGCCAGCTTGTAGATAGGTGTTCTACCCTGTATCCAGGCTGATAGATAGATGTCATAACCTGTACCAGGCTTGTAAATAGATGCCCTATCTTGTAAGCCAGCTTGCAGAATGGTAGATACACTCACTATCTTGTATCAAGGCTGGTAGACAGATGCCCTATCCTGTATCAAGGCTGGTAGATAGATGTTCTATCCTGAATCTGAATTGGTAGATGGATGCCCTATTCTGTATCCAGGCTGGTAGAGAGATGCCCTATCCAGTGTCTAGGCTTATAGACTTGTTCTCTAGGTCTGCCCATGTGTAAAAGTGGGTCCCAGTCTCTTCCTATATGGGCTTTAGTCAGATTGCATTAGACTCCACACAAATGTCCTCATTTAAATTGAATCACCCTTTAAAAAGCCATATTTCCAATAGTCACATTCTGGGTTACTGAGAGTTCTGATTTCAAAACATCAATTTGGAAGTCTGTCATAACTAATGCCAAAACATCCTCAAAAAACATATAAATTCCAAGATGAAAGCAAGGCATGATGTCACACAAATGGAATCTCAGCAATTGAGAAGTAGAAACAGGAGGACCTAGAACTGGGGGCTAACTTCAGTTACACAGCTAGGCCAGCCTAGGCTCACAAGACTTTGTCTCAAAATAAATAAACAATTGAATAAATTGAGATACATATCATGTTCTTGGTTGAAGGATTTTACTCTTATAAAACAAAACAAAACAAAAAAACAAAACACCTGGTTGGCATGATGGCATGTATCTGTAATCTCAGCACTTGAGAGGTAGAAGCAAGAGGATCAGGAGTTCAAGGTCACTCCCAGAAACACAGCAATTCTGAGTACAGTCTGGGCTACAAGAAACAACTTGAAAAAAAAAAACTATACTAATAAAGGTTCAAAAAATTTCAATTCATTCTAAACTACTGCAGCCAAATTCCATAGGATATAGTTTAGTCCTCTTGTTCTTCCCTTTTCATTTTGTTACATTATATTTAGTTGTATGTTATTTAGAATTAAAGTACTATTTATTTCAGGCTCATCATTTCTCATCCCTAATCAATACTGCCAAGTACCTTAAGGCTAATCTCAACCAAGCTAGGCAAACACTCTACCATTGATCCCCATCCCCAAGAAGGCAGTTTTATTTCTGACTTAAAGATCAGCTCCATGGGCTGCAGTGGATGGAGGTGGTGGGGTAGCAGCAACAGGTCTAAATTAGTGTGGTGTTTCCATTCTTTCAGACTTTGTCATGTGCATACACAAACGTCTGGCTCGGGATGGCACAATGCAGTCAGTAATCTCTTGGGAAGCATGTTGAAGATACTTGCTTCTGAAATGTTCCTGAAAGTGTGGTCATTACTGTTTCAAATAACCAACTTCTTAATGGTCTTGGCTTTGGGCACATCCCAGGAGAAATTCATGAAGTGAATAGACTGCAGCCTTCTCTGGAACATCTTGGAACCCAGGCCTGCGAGACCTTTGCACCATATGTGTGAAGAGTGAACTTGTCCCTTCAGTTCTTTCACTCTGTTCCCACTTCCCTGGCACTCAAAATCTGCACATCACACCATTTACCTTTATAAATAGGATCTTTCCATCTTCCTCAAAGTTTATAAATACTGTATATCATAACTATCGTGTGAGCTGGGTCAGGCTAGTTACTGTGATTAGTTAATTCATCATTGATAAAATGAAGATGAAAACAGTACTTATCTCAAAATTACCAAATTTAGACTTAGTGATTTTAAAACTTAACAGACTAAGTATGGTGGTACACACCTTTAATCCTAGTAGTCTGGAGGCAGAGGCAGGTGAATCTCCATGAGTTTCAGGACAGTCATGGCTACACAGTGAGATCCCATCAAAAGAAGTGGAGGAGGAAGAGACTGTCCACTGTTTCACTTTTATCTAGTTCTCAAAGTTGTTCTTTCCTGTGGCTTAGTCACTGTACTTCTTTTCAAATTACTATATTTCGAAACACTTGCTATTTTATCAGTGATAAACTACATGTCCAACTGTAGGAAAAACTCAAAAGTAGATGATGATAGCATGTTATAGAAAATTATAGAGAGGTGTATTTGTGGATAAAAATATACATTTGACATCAAAGAATGATCAGGGATGGAGAGACGGCTCAATGGTTAAGAATACTCAATGCTCTTGTAGACGACATGAGCACCCATGCTGAATGGCTTACAACTGCCTGTAGGTCCATCTCCAGATGATCAGACACCTTCCCTGGCCTCCTCCAGCACCCAGACCAACACCGATATAAATATAAAGGTACACATCCACATAAATAATAAAATTAAGAGACAGATCATGGCTGCTAAATTAATATAAGAATAAAGCAAGTTGAAGAAGTATCCATTTTGAAACTGTCAGCAGAGGACAGAAGTCTCTGAGGAAATGAGGCAGTGTGCCGGAGTGGTGGCACAGGTCTATAACCCCAGCTACTCAGGAAAGCAGCACCCAGGTGGAAATAAGAGATCAGCAAGAGCAGTGTAGCTGGACATGTCCCAGTCTAGTATTTCAAAAGGGGGAAGGTGATGTTACTTAGTGGCAGATTGCCTGATGTGTGAGGCCCTGGACTTGTACTGGGGTAAAAATGAGGCCATGTACTTTCCTGTAATAAATGTACACCCTGATTTAAGACAGTTTCACTGTAGCACAGTTCCTGATCCTCTTGCCTCAGCTTTCTGGAGTGCTATGAATACAGGCATGCACCAGTGTGCACAGCTCTAAATATAATAGTTTTATATGAAGGAAGAAAAATAAAAGAATTATGAGAACCCCCAATAAACTTAAATGGTCCCCCCCCAAAAAAATCTCATTTACCCAAAGATAGTCTTTGATTGTTGGTGTTTAGAGTAACTTTTTTTTTTTTTTTGAGACATCATGGTTGTCCTGGAACTCACTATATAAATCAGGCTGGCTTCGAATTTACTGAGATCCCCTTGCCTCTGCTTCCCTGTGAGCCAGGTTTAAAGGCATGTTCTACAAAGTCAAACTAGAGTAACTTTTTTTAAGTGAATAAAAATACTTGGGATTTAGGGTTAAGGGTTTTCTTTAGAATACCTACTCCATTATGCAAACTAACTTCAAACGCTATTATATATACATATATGTATGTATGTGTATAGTATATACATAATATTTTATATTTATTTATTAACATTATATATAGCTACATATATAGTATATATTTATATGATTTTTTTTGAGAAATGGACATGGCCAAATATTTTTGTTATCTTTATAGTCAGCCGACACATTTAAGTACCTGGGAAAGGAAATGGAATGGCAAAAATCTGTCAGCTTAAACACTGGTGAGGACAAAAGGAACATTATTTTTTTTTTTTTTCAACAAATCTCGAGACTCACAAGGCAGATAATCTCCACATAGAAGACCGAAACTTTTGAGAATTACTTCCATGGTCAAGAGAAAACTTACGGAGTTGTAAATATAACCGAGCTCGTTGAAAAAAAAGAAATCCCTCATGTTCCATGAATTCAAGAGTTGGGGGGTTTGTTAGTAACAGGTAACTCTATGTAAGGCAAAGGGAAGTGACTTAAAGAAAAAATAAAATGGACACTTCAACCTAGGGTGCATTTTAACCTAAATACCTGTTTTGCCTAGTAAACAGCCTGTTGTTTTCGCGTCTTCGAGGCTTCCTTGACTAGCAGGAAGCTAAGGCCTCAGCCGCCACCTGGTGACGCTGATGGCTGGCAATGAGTTCCAGCTGAGGCAATTAATTAGACAGGCTGAGGCGTCGCCTTTAAGAAGCTGACTCACGTGGATGCTGTGTTGTGTGCGCTCAGCTGGGAAGGGAGGCGGGTCCTCACTCTCACCACATTGGCCACCTAGGCCGAGGAGGCAGAGTTAGCCTCCTTGATTGGCTGGAAGAGTGCAAAGTGTCGAGATTAGGGGCGGGAGGAGCAGTGATGAACCCGCCCATCCTCTGCGGCTTCGGGGCGGGGTGGGCGGCGGAGTGTCGGGGAGCAAGAGTGGGGGAGGGTGAGCCAGGGAAGGGGCGGGGCGCGGCGGAAGGGGCAGAGTGCCAGGGAGAGGGGCGGAGCCTAGAAATGAAGGGTGCTGCGGGCCAACCGGGAGAGCCGCCTGAAGGGAGGGCGGGGCCACGCCGGGTGATTGACGCCGAGACCCGACCGGGGAGAGGCGGGGCCAAGGCCTGACTAAACCTGAAGACTTGGAGGCCAAAGGGCTTCGACCCAGCTGAGGAGCGAAGAGCTGCTGGCAGCGCCGATCTCCCCAGCGCGCAGGTGAGTACGGCGGCAGGCGCTGGGCTCGGAGTCGGCGGGCACTCGGAGCCCTCGGGCCGACGGCTTCGAAGCCCTCGGGGAGCGGCCCGGGGCGGGGGCCCAGGCAGGAAGTGCCTCTTCCCCTCGCCACTCGCCCGGGGTCCCGGCGGGGCCACCAAGGCCCCTCAGGACCGTAGGGCCGCGGGCCGGGCCGTCGCTCTTTGTGAGGCTGCGGCGCGGCGGCTGCCATCGGCCCGCCCCCGCCGCGCAGCCGAGCGCCGAGAGCCCGCAACAGCCGCGACCCCTTAGCGACCCGCGACCCCCACCCGCCTCCTCGCCACCCTCGGGGATCGACTCCGCGGCCGCCGGTCCGCGGACAGCTCGCCCGGTGACACCCCCACTTCCTAGGCCGCCCCGCCCCCACGGCTGCCGTCCCCGCCGCAGCGTCGGGGGCGCGCCCGGGCTCCGCTCCGGGTCGGCCCGCGGGCCCGCGCTCCAGGGCCGCGCTCGCACCCAGCCGGCTGCGGAGGCCGGACTCGCGCCCCGGTGCTTCGGCTTTGGGCCATGCCCGCTTAGGTGCCAGCCCCCCCGGCATACTGCCCTCCGATCCCTTCGGACTCTGGGCGTGGGGACATTGCTGGGGAGCCCGCGGGTGCTGGGCGCCCCGCAGCCCGCGCCCGCCCAGCTGTTCCGCCTGTGTTTGTTGTGCCGAGGAGGCCCCGCCGCCGCCGCGCTCTCCGCCTTGCGCCAGGCGATTGGCTGGCGGGCGTCACGTGGGCGCGATCAGCTGGGCCGGCTGCGGGCGGTCGGCCTGGCAGGGACCCCAGAGCTGGCTGGTGAGCCCACCTGGCGGCTCCTCCCCGCGGGCGGAGGTAGGCATACTCATGCTCACCCTCTTATTCCACGCTGCTGTACAGGTAGGTAGGGTGACCGAGTACTAGCCAGCAGGAGTGAGGAGCCGCAGTAGTACAAAGGTCTGTTTAATCCTGACACCGACTAATCTATTTGGAGTGGCAGTAAGGAAAGGTGTACAGCTAGCTCATTTATTTTTAAATTTTTTTTTCTGTTTACAGAGCCCTGTTGGAAATCGGAGGAGTTTTATTTCAGGTGTCCCTTGACAGATGGAAAAATGTGAAAATAACCGCAGGCTTAACTTGCTTTTGGAAAATAAGTGAACTTGCTGGTGAAGGAGCAGGCATAATGAGAACCCTATGAGACAGTTTTGCAAGCCACATAGGCGAGGTTGCAGCTGCATTCCAAAATAGAGGAAGCCACAGTCTGTGTTTCTAGGGTGCAGATTTGTGCCAGATGGCAAGTGCCTTGATGGATTCTTTTACTAAGAATTAATTGTATATTCTAGTATTCAGTAGGAAGGTCATGTGAGTTCTTCTGGCTGGAAGTTCCCAACTTAGTAAAAGGTTAAAGTTCAATGAAATTGAGAAATGGCACAAGGCTAAATATTGCTAAGTTATGAAATGAGTAAGTGTTACAAGAAGTTCAAAGATGAGACAGTGTGACACCAGGAGGAGGAAGTAGGAAGTATTCTGAAGAGAACTGATAATAGGCCTAGAAAATGAAAAGTCTATGGGTTGATGTTGGCCAGATGGGCTTAGGAAAAACAGCCCTGGAACTTTTACAAATAGCAAGAAAAGGAAGCATGTGCATTTTGGCAGACATATACATGTGTATGTGGATATGTGTGTGTAAATGCACACAGCCTAGTGGAGCACAAGGTATTTTGTACTCTGGAAGGATGTGATTCACTTGCTTTTCAGTAGAGTCTTAACACCCATAGGCTGGGCTGGCCTTAAATGATTGGCAACCTGCCTTTTTGTCCTTGGTGCTGGGGTTTCAGGTGTGCTAATTAATGCCCATCTTATACTCTCATCTGGCCTACTGTTCAGTACAGATTTCCTCCTCAGTTTATGTGTAGCCATCACCTTATCTCTCAGAAAGGCAGACAATGAAATACGTTGAATTGGCAGGGGAAACCAACGTATATTTTTTAACAGTAATTGGCAAAATGTATCTGGCTTCTTCTAAAAGAACATCTAGTTGGAATATTAGAACTCTGCCTAGATTCATTTACCTTTTCTGCCCACTAAGGAGATTTAGAAACAATAAAAAGTAAAAATAGGGCAGTGAGAAGGCCTGCAGGTAAAGGTGCTTGATGAAAGCCTGATGACCTGACTTTAGTTCAGGGACCCACACATTTGAATTGAAAGCTGTCCTGATCTCCAAGTGTCCCACACAATTAAATAGGTCTAATAAAAATGTATAATTTGATAAGGAAATAAGATCTACCCCAAACCCTATGAAAAAGTCTGTGGTACACGAAACTACTGTGAAATACATATTCATGAAATGTGAAGATAGTCCTTATAGTCATGAAATGTAAGGGTAGTCCTACCTAAGTATATTTGTATCTAGACTATCCTTTGTTTTGTAGTGCCTTGATAGTTATGTAACTATGTAAATTAATACTGTTTACCTCGTAATGCTGTATGGTAGCAAATGTGTAATTTGGGAACTGTTAGCTAGACATGAATTTGCTATTTGGTACCTCAGTCTGGAAACCACACAAACTATATTGTAGTTATATATCAGCAATAAGATTCCAGTATTGTATCACAATAAACAAGGGGATCATGTTTGTCTTGCCAAGAAGTTTTTGGGGAGATGACCAACTCAGATTATTTGCTGACTCACCACTAGCTGCTGAGTTGTTTGACTGGGCTTGTTTTCTAATGATGACTAAGCCCTATTCTAGAAAATATAGTTAGTATGTAAATTGTTTAACAAAACATAAAATAAGGCATTATTAGGTGAGAAGACCAGACACATTTTCTTATTGTTAAATGAAGACTCAGTCCCACAAGTAGGACAGACATCATTTGACCCAGCAGAGTGACTTGATACTGTACTGTAAGAGGATGACATGGCTTTCTTACATCATTGAAACTTGGCTTTTGCTAACCAATTACAAAAGTAAAAACTTTTGTCTGGGAATGTATCGTAGTAGTAGTGTGTTTTCCTGGAATACACAGGTATTTGGCTTGATTTTCAGTATTACAGACAAAAAATACATAAATAAATTTTATAGCTTGAACTGTTGTTTCCTCATATAACTTTAAAGTAGAATATTGTTACAAATTGCTATGAAAATAGTTAATGAAACTTCATTAGCATCAAATATTTATTACTATATTAATAATTGTTCCAGTTATTAAAGTGTTATGGTTTTTGTTCTTTCCTTTGTTCTAGAGAGAAGAGACTGAAATCCAAATAGACCCTTCCCATATTAGAACCCTGTGTACCAGCCTCCTTACATGCACTTTATCTTCTCCCACCAGGTGCAATGGGAAAAAAAAAAAAATCATCTGCTCTGTCCAGTGTTGGTGGGAGCAATGGGATGGGTATTTGTGGAAATGCCCCAAAGGTATAATTCCTTGACTTAAGGGATAGTCTTTCTGAAGTGAACGTTTTCCACCAGGTTCTGTTCAAATGCAAAGAGATGCCTATTATTCTCCCTGGTATTTTCAGAGCTAGGAAGTGGTGCCTCCTTAGTCTAAATCCATTTGCCAGGATTGAGACCAAACTGGATTATTAATTATAAGGAGGTAACTATTTTAAGGCCAAAGTTGAGCCACTAAGAATTTGAAATCTTAGGTTTCTAACTTGCATCCTATCTATAATTTCTATTACCTGGATCTGTAACATTGCTGTAATTAATAGGAAGTGAAGCTGTTCATTGCTGTTTTGTATCCATTCTGAACCCTGCTTTCAAATCTGTGGTAGGGCAGAGTTGGAATGGGATGTGTAGACTACTCTATGACCTTTATTTAGCATTCACTGTACAGAGTACTGTTCTCAGGCTATAGTATCTCCATTTAATTGTCAGAGATACTGCTATTGCATTTTAGGAAACAGTAATTCGTCAAAGTTTACAAAGGTATTGGGGAGGGGGGAGCCAAAATCTAAAAGCACCTGATTTTGGGGGTGAAGTGAGGAGGCAGTAGCTGGGTATATATTACTGACTTGAGTGATCTTCGTATAGTTAATTTTCAGAATGCTCAAGTGGTTATGGAAAGCTAAGGATTTTTTGTTTTGAGACTGGGACTCTTCTCTGGCTGCCTCTAAACTTGAGATAGCTTTGCTCAGTCTTCTGAATGCTGGATTACAGGCCTGAGCCACTGTGCCCAACTCAGAATGTCAATGATTTAACCAGAAAATCCACGGAGACAATGGGACTGGAAATACAGTAATTTGTCAGCTTCCTATTCATCTTTAGACCTGACTGCCAACCAAGTTTCTGTTTTTCTGAGAAAGACTCCTAAGTGAAGACCTTTTTTTCTGTCTCAGTGTGTTCTTAAGCAGGACAAACTGGTCCTGGCAAGGACTGAGATGGTGACTGTTTTGATTATTGCAAGCCACTGGTCCATACAGTCACCACATAGACTCTTCCAGTAGCTAGTAGAAAGCAGTTGAGTATAAACAATCCAGAAACTATCTCCACTAAAATATTTGATGTTTTCTTCTTAACCTTTTAAAACAATTTTATTTTTAGCATGTGGACAGTTAAATTAGAGGTAAGCTAGACTTGACCAGCTGACCCCTGGGTTTTTGGTTTGGGTTTTATTTTATTCTATGTGTTAAGTGTTTTGGCTGCGTATAGTCTGTGTACCAATTGTGTGTCTGGTGTGGGTGGAGACCAGAAGAAGGCATCAGATACCCTGGAACTGGAATTAAGATGTTTGTGAGCCCATATATGGGTGATGGGAATCAAACCCAGGTTCCCTTGAAGAATGGCCAATGCTCTTAAGTGCTAAGTCAGAACAGACCCAACAATATGATCCCACATTCCGATGCTAGGCAAAATGCTCTTTCACAGAGCTACACTTGGACATTTTCCAAGTTCTGCCCCTTCCCTTTCAGTTTTTAAGTTTTTATTTTGATACAGAACTTCACTGGACTTCTCAGGAATATATTAAAGTCCAAATACTTCTGCCTCAGCCTCAAGTGTTTAATTTTTCTGTAAGAATCATCTCTAGGTAACTGTGATGGCATAGGCCTTTATCACTTGGGAGGCTGAACCCAGGAGGAATATTGTAAATTGAAGTCAACCTTGACTACAAAGCATGACCTGTCTCAAGGTTTTCCAGCAAAAGGTTTATAAAGAAGCAGTTTCATAAAACTTTTAGAAGGTGGTGGCTAAATTAATTTTTCTACTTTGTGCCACTAATCCAATGTAAGTGTAGCATTATTTGTGAATGTGCTGGCTCTAATAAAACACTATGGCCATTAGCAGTTTTAGATGGGATGAGTGTTTGAATACATACAGTGGTGAAAGGGAAAGAGACAGTTTCCCAAGCTGATGTAAGTGCCATTGTTATGTCTGTAGTTGTTTTCTAATTTTAGGGATTGTGTGATTAGATTGCCCCCTAGTTAGGGAATACAGGAGGAGAATCTGGTCAACTTGAGGGTGGGGCTGACTGTAGGAGCTGTTTGTTCCTAGATGTGAGGGGGTGAGAACTGGAATAAGAATTAGTTTGGGGCCTAGCTTGACTACTTGTGAGAAGTTACATGGGCTGTATTTTTACACCTATAAATATGGATAATATATACCTACTGTAAGAATTATCACAGTTAAATGATATATACCAAGTGCAGTGTCCCATACACTGGACATACTTAGGTCTAAGGCAGAGTTTACACTGTCCAGGTCCAGATGAACATGATGACTCTTGTCCTTTTAATGACTCTTCCTCAAGGAAAAAGTGCCTTTCTTCAGACTACTGTAACCAAACACTGTAGCCTGGGTGATTTATAAACAATAGGAATTTATTTCTCATGGTTCCAAGAAAGAAGTATGAGCAGAAATGGTGTCAGTAAAGACTTGTTTCCTAGTTCATTGATGCCTGTTTAGATGTGTCTTCATGGTAGAAAGGCAAGGCAGTGCGTGGAGCCTCTGTAAGACCCCAGTCCTCTAATGAGGGTCTATCTTGATGACCCAGTTACTCCCCAGATGCTATCACATTGGTGATGGGTTTCCTTGGACAAGTTTTTTGAGGACACAGATTTTCAGGATGTAGCAGTGGACTTGTAATTGATGTCAGCCTGGTGACAGCTATAGTGCTTCAATACTGCTTTACATTTGGGATATAATGACCATGAAGAGATTTTTGTTGACAACTTAACCTTTTGGCAAACAAACTACATTTTATAGTTACAAATAATTATGCTTATATGTAAATGGAAAGCACAATCAGGAATCATGTAACATAAAGTTCTTCCTAGATATTTTTAGTCTTGGTAATGAATCATATAATTGAAGCCAGTAAAAGTACTTGGGTAGAGTAAAAAATAGAATGAATTTGAAGCTGGAAAGAAGGCATATTAAGTCTATTTACTCTCAGTACCAAATGGTTGGTCACAGATATTCCTGCAATACTAACCAAAGATTGAATGCTGTAGGTAGAAGGCATTAAGTTGGCTTGGAACCATGGCATCTTCCACAGTAGCATCTAAGGTTAATCAAGAAATAGTTACATTGTAGTTAAAATGAATTGAGTCTAATACTTGTTAGTTGGAAAGAAAATTACCTTTAAAACAAATCTCTGAAGCTGAAGCTAAATGACAATATTGAGAACTTTAAAACTTTACTGTCAGTCCTTTTCATTAAACAATGTATAAACAACAAAAGTCAACTGCTCATGTATGTGTTGAATGCCTTATTTATATTGAGAGTCATAAATTGAAATAGTGGTGCAAGGATCAAACAGATAAAAATAATTGAGTAAACCACAGTGGATAATGAAAAAAATAAATTGGGATGAGGAAGAACAACAATAAACTGATAAACAGAGTCAGACACCATGGGAAAATATGTATTCCCTTGCCTGATCCCCTCCCCCAGAGTGAGAGAGTGTGTGTGTGTTTGTGTGGTGTGAATGTATGTGGTGTGTGTGTGTGTGGTGTATGTGTGTGGTGTGAATGTATGTGGTGTGTGTGTGTGTGGTGTATGTGTGTGGTGTGAATGTATGTATATGTGTGGTGCGTGTGTGTAAGGCCATAGAGGATATCAGGTCTGGGGCTAGAGTTATAGGCATTTATGAGCTGCCTGGTATAGGTGCTGGGGACAGAGCTTGAGTCCTCTGCAAAAGCACTTAAGTGCTCCTAACCAAACTGACCCATCTGTCCTGCTTCCAAATTTTATTTAAGATATATTGTGTGTGTTGGTCAGCCATGTGTATGAAGAGAGTGTCAGAGCCCTTGGAGCTGGATCTATAGTCAGTTTTGAACTTCCAGATGTGGGTGCTGAGAGCTGAACATGGGTCCTCAAGGGTACCAAGTGCTTTTAGCTAACTGCTGAGCATCTCTCTGGACATCTAGACTTGTGTTTTGTTTTTATTTGCTTTCAAGACATGGCTTTTGTGTGTAGCCTTGGCTTTCTTGGAACTCACTCTGTAGATAAACCTGGCCTTGGATTCATAGAGATCCACTTGTTTCAGCCTCCCAAGGGCTGGGATTAAAGGCATGCACCACTACCACCTTGCTTAGCCTATATTTTTATTTGTGGTATAAGTAGTGAATGTAGGACTTTACACATATTAGGTGAGCATTCTACCATTAAACTGTGTCCCTAGCCCTCTTTGAGTAAGGGTCTCTTTCCGTAGTCCATACTGGTCTGGAATTTGTTAAATCGACCACACAGGCCTGGAAATTGTGGTGTTTCCCTGGTGGCTCTGCCTCTTGACTGCTACGATACTGGGGTCCATCACCAATTCTGACTCTTCTGCAAATTTTAAGTATCAACTCACCTTTTTAAAATCAATAAGAGCTTGTATATAATTGAAATGAAATATGTCAGTTTTGTTCACTTAAATTACTTCTGTCATTTTCCTACCCCCCTTCTCTCTCCCTCCCTCCCTCCCTCCCGTATTGAAAAGCAACACACTTAAGGACTGTAAAAGTAAGCAGCAAGCATTGCCAGAAATGCAGTCAGATAGTTGACTATCATAGCTTAAGTCTGGTGTTAGGATTTACATATTGTGGCATTTATTCCTTAAACAAAAACAAAACCAGTAGTCCATTGTAGCCTTGGCTACCCCCTGGAACTCCCTCTCTCTTAGGCATTCCATAAAAGTGAACTGATACATCCTGTCTCTGATAATATTTGTTAATATACTGGTTTCTTCTTTGTTTGGTTTGTTTTTGGTTTTTGGAGACAGGGATTTTCTGTATAACAGCCCTGGCTGTCATCCTGGAACTCATTCTGTAGTGACCTCGAAATCACAGAGATCCACCTGCCTCTGCCTCTGCCTCCTAAGTGCTAGGATTAAAGGCATGGGCTTCTCTTTTTAATTAATATTTTTTGTTATCATAGAGTGGATTTCATTAAGCCATTTCAAATGTGTCATACTTTGTTTTCATCCATTCATACCATTTCATCCATTGCCTAAGGGCTGGAAAAGTTCATAAATCTAAGAAGTAGAGTTTCCTTATTAGTTTGTAATGAAAGTACTACAGATAAGTCAGAACCCTCCCACACACACACACACACACACATACCTCTGCTCACCTCTTAACATGTTAGTAAACATTTGAAACACAAGAACTGATAACACCCAGAAACACTTTAAAATGAAACCTGTGGTGTATTCTTGAGTATATCCAGAGATTTAAAATACTTGGGGGAGGGGAGGAGGAGTATGTTACAGTGAATTTAAGAAATTGGAGTCTAATACTAAAGTGTGGGTTATCCTGTTCTCAGAAACTTGTTTCAAAGCTTTGGTTGAGGATTTTAGTGCTTCTGTAATTTATCAAGTCAGTAATCAATAACTGATTTCTTAATGCCAAGTTACATCCTAGCTGGAAAGTCCATTTTCTCCTTTTCTGTCCTGGTTGCTCTAGCCTTAAGCTACCTATGTCTGCACCATCCCCTTCCTTTGGGGGAAAACAGTGGAGGATAATGAAGGAACTTTGTCTTGGAGCTTGTGAAACAGCATTCCAGATACTATTCTGTAACAGCTACAACCTTTGACCTGCCAACTTGTTTGGGTGAAGTGTGTGTGGTGGTGGTGGGGGGGGGGGTGAAACGCTCCCAGAATTGTGAATTTTAAAGTAAGTGCTCCATAGACTTTAGACTCAGTTACTGAATAAAGTTGATGTGTTGGCCCTGAACAGTGATCAGTATACCCAATGACAATAAACCTATCAACTCACCTCTCCCTCTCAAGCCACAGGTCCACTCTTGTTTTTATTCTTACTGTATTTTGTGTGTGTGTGGTGCTAGGGTAGAACTCAGGGTTTCCAGTATGTGAGGCAAATGCTCCACCTATATTTCCAGACCTTTCTTGTTTTGAAATTACACTTCGTCTGCTCTTATCTGATCACCCCACCTGTGCCCCATATCTCCAATTCTTTTCTTAACTTGCATACCATATGCTCAGAATGTAGACTTAACAGTGGTGCCATGTTAACTTTTTCACACTTCTGTGTGTGGGTGCCTGTATGTAGGTCTGTGCCTTTGGAGGGTATTGAATCCCCTGAGGTTACAGTCATGATCCTTCATATGGGTGCTGGGAATCAATCCCAAGTCCTCTGCAAGAGCAGCCAGTGCTCTAAATATGAACCATCTCTCCAGTCCCATCTGTGCCATTGATTATATATACATATTCCATTTTCCTTTTGTTCCTCACATCAACCAAAAGAGTAATGATATCATTCCTTAGACTCAACTGAGTATGCTTATGGCTACTAACAACTTGGAGTGTCTTATTGGTTCTTTGTGTGAACTTTGTATCCCATTGTTGGGGGTCATATTTCATATTACAGGTTCTAGGAAAAATGGAAAATATAGAATATAAATAACCTATAACACCTCCCCCAATAACTGCAACCAATTTTTTTTAAAATAATGTGTCTTATCTTTTTTCCATTTTTTTCTAGGTTTTTAGAACTTTAGCTCTCAAAATGGGCAGAATCTTCCTTGACCATATCGGTGGTACCCGTCTGTTTTCTTGTGCAAACTGTGACACAATCCTGACCAACCGCTCAGAACTCATCTCTACTAGGTTCACAGGCGCCACTGGTAGAGCATTTCTTTTTAACAAGGTTGGTGGTACAAAGCTTCATTCCTACATATTTGACAACAATACTAGACTATTCTTTAAGAGTTTACAGATACCAGGAACTATCAGAATGGCAGCTTGAAACCCATGGAAGTGGCTGCCTATTAGCTTGTCTTTGGGATTTCATTACTGGAACATGATTTTATTTTATTTATGTGTTTACTTTTATAAAGCCTAAATAAAGAGGAGAGAGGCAGGATGTAGTGGCTTCTGTCTGTAATCCTGGTACTTGGGAAGCTGAGGCATGAAGAACAAATTGGAGAACAGTCTGGGAGACACAGTGAGTTATAGGTCAGTTGGATCTGCTTCAGCTACACAGAGCTGTCTCAAAACAGCAATAAAAGAGAATGAGTCTCTGTCTCTTCTGGAAATATTCAGTATGAAAATTTTAGTTACTTCATAGAATTTGGAAAAAGAGACTACACCCATCTTCTCTCCATTAAGGGAGATATCTATTGCAGCTTATTTGTTGGAAGTGAATCTAGCTAGCTTCTCCTGTTATATAATTAATGATTGCCAGCCAGTCAGCTTTCTGAATATTGTTTGGTTTCTTTGGTTTTACCAAAAGGAAAATCATTTACAGATTTGCAAATGTGTGTTTAGTCTGTTTGGTTTTGAAATTTTGGACCTGTTCTGAAATTTGTTGATGTGATTGTACACCCTGGAGCCTAGCAAAGTTGAATTTCCAAATGTTTTAGGCTAAGAAACAGATCTAATCTTGTTAGTGAGTGTTTTTAGGAGGTCAGGTAAACTTTTGACTAGAAATTGTTCCTCTGTTCCATGAGTAAAGAAGCTTCTCTCAGAATCAATAGTGTGTTCCTTTTACAGAGAAAGATTTGACCCTGTGGCAGGTCAGCTGCCTTCTAACTGTAAACAATCTTCAATCATGTTCATTCATTTACTTAAATAGTGTCTGCTTTTTGTGTTAGAGTTTCAAGATTAAATAGTTGAAATTAAGAGTTTATAACCTGTAAGGAGTACAGTTTTTTCTGCCTGCCGCCTAGTCTTGTCCTGCCGCCGCGCCAGCCCCAAATAATGCACAGAGATTCTGTATTTGATATTATGCTGTTGGCCAATTACTTGTTTCTTATCGGCTAGCTCTGTCTTAAGTATTAACCCATTTGTATTAATCTAGTATTTCCACGTGGTCTTCTCTTACCGGGGAGCCGGCCGGCATTCTGCTTTCTCCAGACTCTCCATCTTGACTCCTCCTTCCTACTTCCTCTTTCCTCCTTGTCTCCTAGTCCCTCCTATCTTCCTTTCCTATTGGCCAACAGTGCTTTATTCATTAACCAGTATGAGAAACATATACAGAATGACACTCCCATCGATAACCTTTAAAGCCAATATTATTTATGATTGATCTTTTAGAGGAAAGTAAAGCATAGAGGATTGTTGGATATTTAGAATGGTTGGAAATTCTCCAGCTTATTTTAGAATCCAATTCTTGTGTTACTATCTTTGCACTTCTTGAAAACTAATGTGTTGCATTGCACAGTTTGTGGTAGGTTAGCCTATCCCAACCTGTTTGTATATGCAATATGTTTTCAGAAGCAAATATGACACTTTATGGAACACTGAGGTATTGTAATAGGTACTTTGATTATCTTACATTCATCATTACAGAATAAATTAATAATTAGACCCAAACTTGTATCTCACAGTTTCAATTCCAGGCCTTTTCCTTCACTACAGCTACCATACATAAATGGTGAGACATGGACCTGTCTAGTACTGTATAAAGATTGCATTAGATTGGGAGCTGGAAAGATAGATGGTTTGGCAGTTAGGAGCAGTAGTTGCTCTTGTAGCAGATGAAAGTTTGGTTCCTAGCATTTACATGGTGGTTAATAACCATCTATAACTAATTTTTGGGGATCTAGTGTCTTCTGACATCTGCAGGCCTGACATATAGGCATACATGTGAGCAAAATACTCACCTGTATAAAACTTACACAGTGCAATTTCCAGATTTTTACCTATCTCTGAAATGAATTTTTTTTTTTTACTCTTGTCTTGATGTGTGTGTCAGGGGGTAGTTTTTGAGACAAGAGTTTCCTATAGCTCAGGCTGATCTGAAATTGACCAATGTGGGTGAGGGTGACCTTGAACCCCTTTCTTCCTTCTGCCTCCCAAATATTAGGATTAGAGGCCTAATGTCACATGCCTAGCTATCCCAGCATTTCTTAAAACTAGTTCTAAGTGGCCATCATTAGTGTAACTATACGTGCTTTGTGGTTTGTTGTTTTGGTGCATGGTCTCTGTGTAGTGAGGCTGGTCTCACCTCAAACTCATGATCCTCCTGCCTCGGCCCCTCCACACTGGGACCATAGGGATGCACATCTATCTCTGTGACACATTTACTTACTTTCACATTTACTTACTGTCACAACTGCCAGCTAACTTACATGAGTTTACAAGGGTTTCTGTGTGTTCATGTCTTTCTTTCTTTCTTTCTTTCTTTCTTTCTTTCTTTCTTTATTTATTTATTTATTTTATTTATTTATTTTTTAGGTAGTTAACTTGCAATACAGTGAAGTTCAGGATCGGGTCATGCTCACTGGCCGCCACATGGTTCGAGATGTGAGCTGCAAAAACTGCAATAGCAAACTGGGATGGATCTATGAGTTTGCTACTGAAGACAGCCAGCGTTATAAGGAAGGCCGTGTGATTCTGGAACGAGCACTAGTTCGAGAGAGTGAAGGCTTTGAAGAGCATGTACCATCTGATAACTCTTGAAGAAAAAAGATAAATCCATCTTTTCCCAGGTCTCCTTCACTGAAAACAAAAATCTACTTACATACACTGTCACCTTAGCATCAGAGTCGGATTCATGAACTGCGGAACAAGAGGGTGTGAGAATCTTAAGATGGAACCTTTCTTTTTTTTTTTTTTTTTTTTTTTTTTTTAATTTTGTATTTCCCACCCAGCAGCAGTTTGTAGAGAGAATATTATGCAGATGCCGTTAATTTTTTTTCCCCTATGTTTACATTTTGAGGCAGAAGAGTCTGCAGCTACATGGTAGGCTATGTTAGGGGAAAAACTTGGGGCCCCTAGAGTGAAAAGGAGTGTTTTGTGTACATTTTGAATGGAGAATATGTCTAGAGCATGGTTTTTAAAGTTATTTGGGCTTCATTTTAAACTTTCTTTTAAACCCAGTTATTTCACTTAATTTGCTAGCTTCAAGAAGAGATCCGAATCTGTGCCCAGCGCTGGAGGCTCAGTGTTAGCGTGGCTTGTGCTGGCCAGTGTGCCATATTCTTGTTGGAGAGGAACTGTAGCACCAGAACCCATTCTTCCTTGTCAGTCTTGACCCACAGATGTCGCCATCCCTAGTTACTTGTCACCACATACTTGGTGTTGATTGGAAACTTTCTGAAATGGGACAGAACTGCTTGGCTGTTTTTCCCATGTAACTTAAGCATAGTAATATAAATAAAGTGAGAGTTGGATGTTTTGGTCCTGTGTTACTTCTAAAAATATCTTTTAAAAGAGCAGAGGTTTGATAAATGATTTTCTTAGTAGTTAAAGTGTTTCTTAATCTTAAGCTACATCGACTATGTGTAAGGTGTTTGTGTAAATGGAAGCATACTGTTAAACTGTATTGCATTAGAAAGCAGATGAGCAGAATGTCGGTGTGCATTCTTTCATAAACTATTAATCTGCATCTGTTCAAAAAGAGGGGGAGAAAATGAAGCTGCTTATCTAAAAATACTGCTTCACAAAGTGTTTCAGCCTTCCCCCTCATTTGTGAGTTGATTTTGACAAGTCTGTAGTGCCTAATAGTTTCACCAAAGGACTGGATCTCTCCTTAGCATGGTTTTCTCACATCTTCACTTAGAAGTTCAGCTATTGCATTTGAATTGCACTTGATTGATACCCTCTATTGGAAAGAGGTCAGAGTTGACTCAACTTAGCCCTCAAAGTATGACCTTACAAAGTATTAAGAATATGCTTTTTTATCCAGATCACTTCTAGGCAAACTGGTACTTGCTTTTGGTAAATATAATGTACAGGAAAATCGGCTAGTTATACAGATGAACAAACAGATGTTTGTATGCTCAGTTGCCAGGTGGTCTAATGAAGGAAATTTGCCTAAGTTGAGTAAGTGACATCTTTCTGTCATTGATATTAAACGTGATGTCTGAGTACAGTAAAGTTTCTCATACTTAGCTTTGCACTCTTGGCTAATGGCATGGTTGTTGATTGACTAGGGATAGTATAATTTTCCATTTCCAGTGAGTGAACACAACTCTGTCTTCAACTTGAACAAAACTTTCAAGACTTAAGAAACAGTATTTGTTTCCACTGATTTCCACACTGGCCTGTGATGATATGCAGATTCCTAGTCGCATGCCTCACCTACAGCACTGTGTGTGTTGCTGTCAAAATAAAGTATATTTTGTCCTGCATCAGTGCAGAACTGCTACTTATTCACTGATCTATTTGGTGATCATCTTTGTCATTTTTAATCTCTAAACACATAATTTTTTATTCGTTTTGAGGTGGCATCTCACTATGTAGCCCTGGATGACCGGAACTTTCTTGCTACTTAATAACAGGCTGGCCTTGAATTTACCATTGAGATTTTAGGTGTGCACCACCACACTCAGCTCCCTCCATGCTTTTGAATTTAGTTGTTTTGCTTGACAGTAGTAAAACTATAGTTAATTCTTTATGCCTGAACACACTAAATTTGCTATCATTAACTTTGAGATAATTTTGCCATAGATACAACTGGTTTCATACTAAACCAATTGTATGTATGAAAATTTAATTAGTTAACAATTATAAGTAAATGTCACACTATTAGGTTAACTTAGGTATCTGGCAGGTTTAAGCAACAGCCACTTCATTTTAAAAACTTGCATGTGCTGGACAAAGGTGTGGCTCCATGGCAGAGTGCTTAGTGTGCTGGGAGACCTGGTGTGATTCCTAGCACTGCAAAAGTAGAAATCCCATTTCCAG